TAATAATAATAATAGTCTGTCAGAACACCCCACCCCCCTCACACACACACACACTCACACTCACACATACCAACAAACAAGCAGCCAAAGATAAAACAGCTCTATCACCTAGGGAATTGCCTACGAAGCAACAATAACAAATAATAACTCACATTTCACATACCATCACTCACACACACACAAGAGCCAGACATATTGTCCACTTAACAATACTTTATTCCACACGGCCTCAGCTCTCTACAAAAGACCACCTGAGATCACCATTTCACCTCTTTTTTTTTCTTTTTTGTTTTTTTTGTTAATAGTTGATATTTGTGAGACATCGTGGTGAAATCAGACGCTCGTAAAAATAATAAAATCGAAGAAACTGACATTTTTTCCCAATTGCTTGGTAATCTTATTGGGGTTTTATTGGTTCGTTTTTGTTGTTTTGTTGTTTGTTTGTTTTTGTTTTTGTTTTATTTTTGTTGTTTGTTTCTTTGTTTGTTTTTGGTTTTGGTTTTTTTGGGGGGAGGGTTTCCTCAACGCCTCTTATGTACGTATATTAATAGATTTCTGTGTTGATGTTACTGAAAACCGTTGATTAAAGGCACATAGATATAATATTATGTAAACTTCCAATTTCCAAGGACTCTCCAGTTATGAAAGTCACTAAATTTGGGCTGCAATTTTCTCGCTAATTTTATCTCTGAAATCAGGCAACTCCCATCTACTTCAATCGCAAATGTCTCGACTTCTTGTCAAGATAGATGGATAGTTGTTTTCGTCGATAGATTGACTTAATGAACAGGCTTGTAACAGGATACCCATAACTGCACATGCCCCAAAAATTGATGAACGCCTGATTCTATCGCGTTGAGGCATATTATTTCTTTTTTTATTTTATTTTCAACAAGCCTATTTGTGTCCTCTCCGGCTGGATAATATAATTGATTTGCCAATATAAATGTAATTATGATTATTCATTTTTTGTGTCCACAGATGTTGATTGCTATATGATAATTGATATATTTATTCTTTCTTTCTCCTCGA